CCCCCCCCCAACCCGGGCCGCCCGCCGCAGCGTTTGGTTAAACAATAGCTCTTTCATTTCCGAAGATCTTCCACCCCGCGCAGCCCTCCGATGAGTTCGGAACAGCGAGGGGAAGTCAGATATCGTTCGTGTTCCCACACCCCTGCGACGGAAACCCATGGAAAGCCCCGTCCGTCGATGCTCTTTCAAAGGAGGCTGTAGAAACTGCAGAGCGTGGTCGGGAGCAGGCGGCGGTGCCGAGAAGCGCCCGGATCTCGTCCCTCGGGATCAGCTCTCCTGCAGGTGACGCAGGCTGGATGCCCGGCTCCCGGTGACGGTCGCTGGGGCTCCGTGGCACGGCAGCGTCCTTTAATTAAACACTGATTGTTCAAGGCCAGGCTGGAGGAGGCTTTGGGCAACCTGGGCCAGTGGGAGGTGTCCCTGCCCATGGCAGGGGGTGGCACTGGGTGGTCTCTAAGCTCCCTCCCCACCCCAACCATCCTGTGATCCCATGGATGGGGAGCGAGGGATTGATTCCTGGCTTCTCCGTCGGCGTTTACGTGCAACCGTCTCTCCTTCCCTGCCCTGCGGCAGGGTTCGGTGGGACGCCGGGTAACCAGCCGTCGGGTTTTGAAGCAGTTTTTATCTTGCTGAGCCGTGACGCCCAACTCCATCGCCTTGTGCTAATATTTGCTCTAGGAAGCGGTTGCCTTCGGCTGCCGAGGGCTCCCTTCGACTTCAGGTTTAACCTTTTCGTACGTGTCCCGTCCTGGCAGAGCTGGGAGACGGAAGAAACCGGAGAGTACAGAGTCGTTCTCATCTTTCACACCCAGCCAGCTGATGCATAAACCTGCACGAGAGTGTTTGGGCCACAGAATTTAATTAATTCTTGGTGTGTTTTGCCTTCCCTGGGTTCACATCCATCTTGATCGCAGCGTTTGCAAGAGGTTATGTCCCCAACCAGGGGAAGACGGACACATCTCAAGTCTTCTCCTGGTTGTACAAGAAAAAAAAAGTGCAGAATTGTCACCACATCCTCAAATAAAAGCCCTTGAACCGCCCTCTGAAGATGTGCACCGACAGCATTTCACTGACTGTCGCTGCGGACGACACACAGTCCCTCCTTCTTTCCTCCTGCGCCGAAACCTCCCGGTTTAATTAGAGCCAGCGGGGAGAGAACCTCAATCTGATTATTCCTTCGCAGCAGGGCACCAGTAGCATTTCTTGGACGTCAAAAGGAGGATTAAATTGGTCTGCGAGTGAGGTTTGGGGTTTGTTTGGTTTGTTTTTTTTTTTTTCCTCCTTCGCATCTCTGGGAGGGTGCTAAACCTCCCGACTCGCTGCGATGATCCATGCCGGTGGCACGGCGTGCAGTCCCGATTGCAGCAGAGCTCTTGCCCAAGGGGAGGTTTGCACCTTTCGGGGCTGCAAATCCGGGGGTGGGCGGGGTGGGTG